GCCTGAGTTTACGTTCGTTACGTTACGTTCAGACGCAATAATTTCGTTTACATCTTGTATAAAGCTACATTGGGGATTTAGTCATAGTTGACACGATTGGCAAGCGGATTGGCAACCGCAACTCACTTCTCTTTGGCCTCTACCTATCCGCCTGGGGCTTGGGGTATCAAGGTACCGTGTAATAGCGGTGTAAGGATATCCGCTACCCATATCGTCCCGTGAGTGTCTATCTATATTTATCTACAATTAAAAATCAATATGCAAATGCATTGTCAACTCTGAGCACTGAAATGGAATGCCTCGTTTCCGGTAAAAAGGGTATCCGATTCTCTACACTCACCATATGATACACAGCCGCATTAAGCTGCTATTTTACGCTGGTATTCTGTGAATGCATGGTTCTACTCCAGTCTACCGACCTATTTGTATTACAACCATAATATAGCTGCAGAGTGCCTCTATCACGTAAAAATGTCTGAGTCATCTGTTATATACGAGTATTTCCTTATCTATTAAAGGAATTGTATAGCAGTTTTACAATAGCGAGTGTATAAATTGAATTTTATAAACTACGATAAAACGCATTAATACAAAAACGTTTGCCTTGCTACAAACTGCCCATTAACGCAATAACAGACCGAAATAATGATGGTAAGTAAGAATTTATTTTTGTCTATCAAAATATTTTTAATTGGTTTTAGAGTTGAAAAATATTGTAGTGTGTGATTAGTGAACTTGAAGCTGTATATTTGCTTAATGGAAGTGTTGAAGATAAAAGCTTGCGCTATCGGCGGATCTCTGAGGTAATTAGAGGGGCGAAGAGCCGCGATAGGGCCTTCTTCCATCACAATCCACTTAAACCTACACTGCCTTCTCACCCCGTCTACTTATTATGTAAGTGTGAGGGATTGCATATTGACTGCTGTACTGCACTTATTAATTTAAGATGGTCATGTGGCTTGCAATATCATTATATTCAAATTCTTATTACACCATTATACACGATTAAAATAACAGTTATATTTCGTTTTTTTATGTAGGTAGTAATTCAAAAAACAATAAATATAATATACCACACGGTTAATATAATATGCATTGAGTATGAAACTTGTAAGTGCTTTTTGAACACATTTCGAATTACGTTAAATATTCCTTGTCAACTAATAGCAAAATGGTACTTATCCGTCTGTTTTTAAGGTAGATAGTTAAAAATTATTTGATTCTCCAAATATAGTGGAGAATACATCTCTCGATTAAGAATTCAAATGCAGGTGCGTTATTACATCTGAGGACTAAGATGAAATACCGTTTATTCAGTAAAAGGGTCTCCTGTTCTCTACACTCACCATACGAAACACAGCAGCATTGAGCTCCTATTTCAAGGTGGTATTTTGTGAGAGCGTGATCCTACCTTGGTCGAGCCGACCCATTCGTGTTACCACCGTAATATACTGGCAGCATGGTTCTACCACGTCCACCCTACCAAGTATGAAAATGGGTATAATTATAATTAAAATCGACGAATAACGAACGGCGATTTTTCAACCAATAGATTTTAAAAGTTATAGTCTAAGTTGCTGCTTACGTGCTTATTCTATTTTGATAGAGGGTTTTTGTTTAATTATGGTTATTTTAGGTTCTTTCCTAACCTTGTTAGCTAGTTTTTTAAACAGTCGAGCACATGATAAATCAGCTCGGGGTCGGATTGCTCGTGTAAGTAAAATACAGCAAGCGCTTAGCCTCTGTGTTACCACGGCTTACAGTTTATGAACAGTTTCTAGAAATGTGTAACAAAAAACCTGCCGGGCTGGCAGTGATGTGTGAAATTCGACGTAGCCACCCTAGCAGGCGTCTAATCGCTTTGCTTTTAGTGAAATTGCTCTATAAATATTCAGTAAGAAAACGAAAAACTTAATAATACACTATCGCGTGACGCTAATTGTAAAATTACTTATGCATTAACGTCTTGCTCACATGTTACATGACTTTATTAAGTGGTCAAAGTTCGTTGCTTTGTATATATATACATATATAGAATTAATTTATTATTTAAAAGTTAAAGTTACAGCCTATATGTATACGTCCCACTGCTGGGCACAAGGCCTCCCCTCATTTCTGAGAGGGTTTTAGAGCAAGGAAGTGTCCGCCGCGCTGCCCAAATGCGTGTTGGCGAACTTCACATGTCTGCGATTTTTTTTTTCTTATTTCTCAGGCATGCAGGTTTCCTCACTATGTTTTCCTTCACCGCCGAGCACGTGGTAAATCAGCACTTAAAATTGTAATTAACAATTTCATTGGTGCCGGCGGGGATCGAACCTGGTTTGCTCGTGTACTGTGAAATTTACGACGAGTGCTAACCATCTGAGCTAGCACGGCTATTATATATATATATATATATATATATATATATATATATATATATATATATATATATATATATATATATTCATTTATTTATTATTTCTCCTGTTAGCTCGCGAGGCCACGCGTAATATGACACTCCCGCCTTTTTTGGCGGGAAAATTTGCAAATTAGCAAATTTTTTGCTATATTGCAAATTTTGCTATATTTTCACTTTGAGACAATATTTATGGATAAAACTTACAGGAATTCTTGTTGAATGTATAAACTATTGAATAAAATTATTTTGGTTGTTAGAAATTATAATAAAATTCATAAATTACCCTTTATAGCATAAGTAGTAGTATATACTTCACTTTTAGTGCCAAAATTACTACTAATTTGAATTCTACACTTTTGTTTTTGGAGAAATTTATATGAAAATGTTTGGAAACATGTATATTTTTAAGTTTTATGTGTTTCCAATCGTTACTCATACCAAAATATTAAAATATTATAAAAATTAAAAAAAAAAAAAATATTTTATCTGTATGACATTTCGAACAATATTTCTAAAATATGTTTGTGTGAATTTGAAATAAATACAACGTCATGTTATTTGAAATATATACGAAAACTATTTTTACTTACATTTTACACTAAAAATAAATGAGAATTTGAAAAATAACACATTTATAACTCACCTGCCAAAACGGGCTTTCCGGAATTTGAAGTACTTTTTGGCAATTTACTTTTCACTTTTTATACCACAAATTACATATCTACGTGTTTACTATATTACAAGGAATATAAAAAAGTATAATACTTTCGTTTTTAGTCCAGACACAAATATAAAATTCTATAAAAAAGATGGAGCACCTTCAACAAAGTGACACGTGGAACGCCGGAAGTTCAGAGTGATTTCTTTTTTTTTTTCTAAGAAACATTGCCAGGTTATGGTTTAAAATAAAAGAGCATATCTTTGTCTTTGATACTATTATCTATTGCATAGTGTCTTTGGTTTTGTTTTAATTAAAAAAATTATTTTTCAAAGGGTAGTACTTGTGGTACACATGTGTATCTTGATCGAGCGAGCGTACGATGTTTATGTTTGGTACACATGTGTATGCTAATCGAGTCTACAGGCTAAGGTAAGGTTGCGATGATTGGACCACTTTTGTTTAAATGCTTAAAAAAACGAGTGTATGCAATGTGGAATAAAAGTGATTTAGTTACTGAAGTGCTCTTGTATTCCTGCGTAAATACCTAAAGCTTCAGAATTCTAAAATAGTAAATAGAGTCAATAAAAGGGTAAAATGATTTTTGTTAAGGTTTCTTTGATTGGACCACTGGAACGTTCATTAGACCACTTTGTTGCTATCATTGGACTTAGGAAAATGAGTTGACCGGTCCATTGATGGGAACTCGGAAATTTCATGGTTTAAGTTGACAAAATAATAATACTACAATTTAAAGAAATGAACATTTTAATCATTATTTTAACATTTATGTTACTAATTAAGTCATTGGGTGCGTTTGGCAAAAAAGCCTAGGTTGTGGTGGGGTTTTAGTTTGTAAAGTACATATTATTATAATCATGAATTTTTTTAACATTTATATGTTATTGTATTTTTTTTTTCTTGAGTGGGGAAAATTTTAGCGCTTGTGGCTTGTTTTTTGCGCACCCATTTTCAATATAGGCATATGAAACAGTCTTCTTGGTTTTAATACCGTGCATGTAATATTTTTTTAAATGTTTCCCCAAAAAAATATAAAAATTATAAAACAACAACTTGAGGTACTTAAGTTTTTAACCATTATTTTATTTTTTTTTTTGATCAACAGTCTTCTTGGTCCTTATATTTAATACCATGTAATCACTTTTTTAAAATGCTACATACTAAAATCTTCATAGAAAAAATATAGGAATATCAAGGTACTTAGTGTAAAATTCTTAAAAACTAAAAATACTAGTCTGAACAACATAAACTTAATCTAATAATTTTTGAGTATTGTTAAAAAAACTACCCATCTTCAGGGATATAAAAAATTCTCCGAACGTTAGTTAAAAAATTTCAATATCTAAAAGAAATCAACATTCAAACTTAAATTAATATTCAATAATTTCAGACATTTGAGATCCATTATTCAGTACATGATGCGCAAATATATTTTTTGATCCCTTTTTTAACGCAGGCACACTCCTCACGGACCCAACATTTACATGACAAACATTGTATCATGTCTTCAATAGCACAATGGAGACAAATTTTGCAGAATCATTTTTCTAACTCCGCAGTTGGCACTTTCTTTCTCTTCACGTCTTTCTTTATCCGTTTTTCTGGATCTCTATTAGATTTTACTATTTTCTCCAAGTTTAATGCAGCAACTTTCTTTCTCTTTTCAGCATCAGACTTTGTTTTGGATGCTTTAGCTTTTGACTCTTCAAACTGTGTTTTATGTGGGGAAGCAGTTAACTCTATTGCCGATTGTGGTTTACGACTTCCTTTTCTCAATTCTTGCATGACTTTCTTTGCAGTCGGAGTTACACTACAAATCTGAAATTCTGAGTTAGTGATTGGAAGTGGTTGCCATTGTTTTACTTCTTTTGTTGTTATGATTGGTGCTTCAGGTTGAATATTTATATTGTTGGAATTATCTCATAAATCAGGGCTTGGTATAACAGGGGTTTTGGAAGCAGGCGGTATTGTTTGCATCGTATTTACATCAGTAGTTTCAACGCTGGTGCACGAAAATGGTGGATCATCCGAGGTAACATCTTTTGGTATTCCATTGTCATCTACATCATTAAGCTCTGAAAACAAAGGATCCACAATCATGTTCTCATTCACAATAGCCGGTAAGTTGTCGTTATCTTCAGGTAAAGTAACGAACTCATAATCTTGGAAAATATCCTTATTAAAAGGATATATGCCTGTACTTCGATATTCACTTTCAGCGGTTGCAATAGATGTAGCACGGACGTAGGCTTCACCGAAAAGCATTGAAATTTGAAATACTGTAACACGTCTTCCTGGATTTGTACGCAGCCACTTCTCTGTTTCATCTATATAATAGCAACTCCACGGTCTAAAAAACGAAGTATCTAGGGGCTGCAGTTTATTGGAAGTATGAGCAGGAAGTGACAGTAACACAACATTGTTTTCCTTGGCATATTCAATAGCATCCAAATTTTTTGTGTGACTAGTGTGTCCATCAAGTAACAGCAAAACTTTCTGCTCCGTGGTCGGCTTTACACATTCTATAAAGTGTTGCAACCAAACAAAAAATATTTCACTATTAATGTAGCCACTGTCGGGGTTAAAAGCAAAGGTTGAACCAGGTGGAGCACCGTCGCGAAGTTCATCTTTAGCATTTTTTCGTTCAAAAATTATAAGAGGTGGTACAAAATGGCCAGCTGCACTTGCACAACACACAGCAGTAGTAGTGATTCCACGCTCACCATTTGTAATAGCACCAACTTGATGCTTTCCTTTTTGGCCAATATCTTTCTTGCTTTTCGTTGCACTGTTGAAAGACCTGTTTCATCTACATTATAAATGTATCGTGGGTCATGTATACCATGCTCATCCATCACTTTTTCTAACTTTTAAAAAAGTCTGATTGACAGTTGGTTTGTTAAATGCTGTAGCTCTATTTAAAGATTTAGCTCTGGGTTGTCTTAAACTTAGACTGGGATGACGCTTTAAAAATGCATAGTACCACTTCTTCCCGGCCATTTTTTTTGTTTTATTAAATCTGTGTTTAATATTGTTTTTCTCAGCTATTTTAAAAGCAAGTGATCTCACATCTTTTGGTGTTAGACCATACAAATAGGTTTCCATTTCTAGAATATGTTGGTACAACTTTTCTTCCAATTTAGGTGTGAGATCACCTGTAGAACCTGGCGCTTGTTTTTCTTCTTTGGCTGTTTGATTTGAGCCATCAAGTCGTCTCTTTAATGTAGCTTTTGGTACACCGTAAATTCTGCTTGCTTCATTTAAGCCAATTTCCTTATTACGTAATGCTAGTTTCACTCCACGTGTAATATTGCCCTCTTTTAGACAAGCTGCAATAAAAATATTTTCTATTACCAATACAATAATATCAGCACACAAACATGGCAATCGAAATTAAATTAATTATTTATTTAAAAATTTATTATTTCACATTTTAAAAAAAAATAAGTTGACATAGGTATTCCAATGATATTGCTGCCATTTAAAATTAAATCAATTTATTTAAAATATTTATTGCTCTTTCATTTCACATTAAAAAAATAGGTAGATCTACTCGAATGACATTTTAAAATCCAGGTTTTATATTAGTTGCCGTGATTGGACCGGTCCAATCGAGGAGCTTCGAGGTGGTTCAATAATGGCAACTACGTATGGTTTTACAAGGTCAAATATTACGACTAAACTATAACTTTTGGACATTCCTTTCTATAAGAATCAATAACGTTGATAAACAAAGAACAGAACATTAAACAACACGGATGAATATCCTTAAGGAATATCTACTTACATAGTTTGGTTTAGCAGGCGACAAAAATTTTTTGAGCGCGCGAAACGCAGTGATAGACCTGCGTCCGCGACGGAGCCTGCGGCAGAACTGAGACTACGGTTGTGTGGCGGGGGGACGTAACCAAGCGTCCGACGCCTAGCAACAGTTTTAAAATCGAATCGTTTCGAAAATATCGAAGCGGTCCAATGAAAGTGCCGGTCCAATTAAATGTCGAAATGTCCAAATAATTACACTTAAATGTCGTCTAAATATTTACTTTGAAATCTTAATCCCCTATTTTCCCAAATTTATGGATGGATTTTTAATTTATATGGGATCACTATCGAAGTGTAAATTACAACTATTTAATATAAGGTAAATTGTTAGAATCGTTTCAGACGTTCTGAGAAATAAATGAACATATATTAAAAAAAAAACATCCACCTGTTTTTTTATCACATTATAGATTGTGTGTGTCTTTGATTATATACCTGTCACATAATCAAAGGTATGTGACATTTCCTGTAACCCACTCGGCGGCTTCCAGTTCATTAAGTGGATTTAATAAAGCGTATTCATTCTCACGAACCTTATTTCTAGTCCGGTCAAATTAGACCAAAAAATAAAAGTAAGGCTACCTAAATTCCCACCAAGCTAAAAATCAGTAAGATGGTTTAAAATATAATTAAAAATAAAATTTGAAAGTTTCCCATCTTTCTCCTGTATGGAAAATTTTTATTCAAGGTAAAAGTTCAAAAAAATGATTTTCGCGATTTTCAGCAAAACGGTAAATTTTATTATAAAAATAACTCAAACAAAAATTGTAGATCATAAAATTATATACAAAAAGTGTATTAATACTTTTTTCCTACGAGCCGTCGTTTTTGAAATATAACGATTCAAAAAGTTGTGTTGTGTGCGTCCGGCACGATTTCATCTGACTGGCTCAAATCACCTTACCTAAGCTGAGGAATCCTAAAAGATGCAGTGATTATCGTACCATTTCGCTCATGAGTCATGTTTTGAAGCTGTTCTTAAAAATAATCCATAACAAAATTTACTCAAAATGTGAGTCCGTACTATAACTCAGTTTGGTTTTAGAAGCGGTTTGGGAACTAGAGACGCACTTTTTGGCTATCAAGTACAGGTACAAAGATGTTGGGATATGAATAAAGCTCTGTCTGATAAAATTCTGAAAAAGCCTTCGACCGCGTTCAACATGACAAGTTGATTGAAATACTTCAGAAAATTGGCTTAGACTTCAACGACCGCCGATTCATTAAATATTTAGAAATATATATATATATATATATATATATATATATATATATATATATATATATCTGAAAATATATAAATAATGGCATCGTCATACATTGACATAGAAAGAGGCGTACGACAAGGATGTATTTTGTCACCCTTACTGTTTAATTTGTATGCTGAAGCCATATTTTCAGAGGCATTAGATAACAGTCCAGACGGCATATCAATAAATGGCAAATTGTTGAACAACATTAGGTACGCAGACGACACGATATTAATCGCCGATAGTCTTGCGGGTCTTCAAAGGTTAGTAGATTCAGTGGCTTCCGATAGTGTTGAATACGGTATTAACATCAATACCAATAAGACGAAGTACATGGTAATAAGCCGAACACCTAAGCTTATCACGTCTTTATCCCTAAATGGTCAGGGTCTTGAACCGGTCACCAAATTCAAATATCTAGGCACAATGGTTGACGAAACAGGAGATCACAGCTTCTAAATACGATGCAGAATAGAGAATGAAAAAAGTTTTTTGTGACCGGAACCCTAACTATTTCTCTTCGAACACGCATAGCGCTGTGCTATGTCTTTTCTGTACTCTATGGCGTAGAAGCTTGGAAGCTGACAGAAACCATGTCTAAAAAAACTGGAAGCGTTCGAGATGTTGGTGTACAGACGTATGCTAAGAATTTCTTGGAGAGACTGCGTAAGAGTAACCATAACCATAAAGAGGAGGAAATTAATAAGAATATTTTGGGCACGTGATGCGTAGTACCAAAAATATGAGTTTCAACTTATCATTCAGGGGAAAGTGGCAGGCAGAAGGAGGCCTGGCCGCAGAAGGATATCGTGGCTGAAGAACTTGCGCCAGTGGTTCGGGAAGAGCACAAGATCACTATTTAGAGCAGCGGTCTCAAAAGTTGAAATTGCCCTAATGATTGCCAACCTTCGCAAGGAGACGGCACCTTAAGAAGAAGGAAAAAGGCAACAGCAGTTTTTTTTTTAGTTTTTTGCTGCCCATCTACTGGTTTGTTTTCCCGTACCTCTTCTTACTCACCATTTTGGCACTCACGGTACTCACTCACCATTTTGGACTCTGAAGACTAAAATAGAATGCCTCGCTGTCAGTAAAACGGACAGAGACTGGATTCTCTACACTTACGACATGAAGCACAGCACGATTACCAACATAATGCTTTATGATGCTATTTATACCGGTGTTCTGTGAGAGCGTATTACTTTCCTGGGCCAGCCAGTTTTTCGTACGGCAGCTTAAATATAACTGCACTGCCAGCATGGCTTTACCACCCAAAATATTAAAAAACTTTTTAAAGGAATTGAGTGACCTATATTGATTTATCAAATTCAGCGGCAGCTCACTATTGGATATAGATTTCTCTCAAGGCGTGCGGCTTAACCCGGTCTTCGACTTCAGATATACAGATGCTATCAGTAAAATTTTGTCAAGAAAGATTTACCAAATATTTTTTAATTTTTAATAATTTCAAAACTCCATATTATTTTTATGTTTGGTTTTTACGTCTTTATAAAAATTAAATATAAGTGCTACCGATTTTGTGATAGAGTTGTGTAGTCGCGAGTGTTGGCGGGAGATCGCTATCAGCTGTGCGTTGCCCGGAGTGCGGTAAACAACCAAACTGCGGCAGACGCGCTCCTTTTGCAGAAGAACTCAACACTTGAACTCAGGTTAAATCATTTCAGCGCCCTGAAGCTGATTTTTTTACATGGAATCAATGATAAACGAGCATACAGTCCATCTGTTACGAACATTGCAGCAAATGAATATACATAATATTCACTTGCTATATGGACATACAGCTAGTGGATACTGTGGTTCATAGAATAGGTCAGGCCACGCAGTCAAATTAATGTAGTTTTTTTTTAATATAAGCCCTAGCCACTTTTAATTTATTATGGAAATATGTTTAAAAGTAAAAATGCGAATGTTCTAATGTCATATTTCGTGTATAATCTATGCATACAAATAAAATTAAAGCATCCGTCTGCAATATGACATTTTTTTGTCTGACTGTGTATTTGCCATATTTTTAAAATGACTTAAGCTATTGAAATTTAACTTTACAAGCAGATATAAGCAGAGAAATACCAGAAGGGATCTAGGCTATATTTTATCCGAACAACTTGAATTTTTATTTAAAAAAAACTGATCAAATTTTTTGTTTTTTGTAGATGTAAAATATTAAGATATTTTTTTTGTGGATGGGACTATAAATATATATATATATATATATATATATATATTAAAAGTGATCACCATAATTTATTAAAAGGTAGGTTTTTTAAGTAAATAAAATTAAAAGTTTTCCCAGTGCTTGTCACTCCCAAAACATATAATAATATATACTCGTATGAGTCACAATGATATATATTTATTTCATTTTAATTGAGCCTTTTTTCCATTTTATTTATTTGAAATCTAAAAAAAGTCCAAATGTTTTCAACAACTGCTTTATAAACGTAAATGGAGTGCATGATTTGACACTTTCGTCTACAAAATGTTTTTTGAAAAAAAAAACAGTGAATTTGTTATCTAGCAAGCTAATAGAAGCCCCTCTTTTACTTCCCCGGTCTTTATAATTGTCACGTTTTGACACAAAAAATTTATTTAATCCAATACTTTCTATTAAATAGCTCGAAAGTATAGTTTTATAGCGTGTTACTTAATGTGAAAGCATTGTATTAAGTGCATAGACCAACTTTATACTCACTAACTTTGTACGTAATGTAAATCCCGTAATATATAAATTTATAACCATTTATTGACCATGTAGGGAACTAAAATTTACGCGAAACATAGTATTAATTGGCCTTATTTTATTTTATGAGTTTGCGTTTGACTCTTATGGTCTCTACCATAAGAGTCAAACGCAAACTCATAAAATAAAAGGTGGCTCTCCACGATGCAATTTATTTATGAGGAGGGATGATGTTCCCACAGAATACCAGCATGAAACAGCAGCGTAAGGACATGCTTTTCTGATTTGTAGGCGGCATTCAATCTTAGCACTTAAAAGTAGCAACGTATTTGCATTTTGAGTTTTAATCGAGAATGTAGGTACCGCGTTGTACTCCGTCCGCTAAGACCTACAGACCTACTAAGAATACTAGCATCCACTTTCACCATTGCCTAAAAAAGAACAAAAATATTGATCTGTTGATTTTTTTTTATAGGATAGGATATCAAACGAGCACACAGTCCACCTGATGGTAAGTGGATGCTGTGGCCCATAGACATCTACGTTCTACATCTATCCTCGATTACGAATCAAAATGCGAATGCGTTGTCACCCGTGAGGACTAAGATGGAATGCCTCGTTTCCAGTAATAAAGGTCTCCGGTTATCTACACTCTAGCATTAAGGTACTATTTTACGCTGGTACTCTGTGAGAGCGTGGTCCTTCCCCAGTTGATCCGAACCATTCGTGCTACAACTATACTACTAATATAACTGCAGCATGGCTCTACCACGGTGACTTGATACGTAACTGTCTCATAGCCAGTATTGATTCTACGGTGCTCTTCACTTACTATTGTTGTGTTTTTGTCTATAGAAAAACGTAAAGTTATGTCTCTATTTTATACGGGAAGTGAAGGGAAACATACTATTAAACGTAGTATGTTTAAAGTAAAAAGTGAAAAGTAAAGTAACGAATAAAGACTATTCGTACCCTATTTGAGCTCAGGCCTCCTCTTGTCTCCTTAGTATAATGTAAGGCAGAGAGGAGAGGAATCCGTTGTACTGCCTCAACGCGTATTGGTAAACTACACATATCCGAGAATATTTTTTTCTATTCAACTTCTCAGGTATGCAAATTTTCTTACGGTGTTTGAAAAACAGCAAGTACGAGTATCAATTTTAGTGGTGCCGGCGGGAATCGAACTCGTTTATTTCGTGTAACATGAAGTTTTATGACGAACACGAAGTGTACCTAATTACAATGGTGAGAATATCTATTTTACGCTTATTGACCAACGGCAGGCAGCTCAGTGTGGTATTTATAGAAAAAAAAATTATAAACACTACTTTATTTGGCGCATTTTTGAATATCATATCCAGAAATAGTTTCAAAGGCTAAAGATATTCTTTAAAAGTGTCGTCTTTTTTAATTTCTATACTTACAAGTTCCAACCAGTATCAGTATTGCTCTACCATTTAATATAAAATAATTATTCTACAGAAAAACGTAGTCTACTACACAGCGTGTACCTACTCTGTGGTAATTAATACAAGCTTCTGAGAGAAA